CTGTAGAAAAAGTAAGGTGCCCGGTAGAGTGAAGAGATGGTCCTAAAAGTTCTTTTTTAACAAAACACAGAGGAAAGCAGTACTTTTCAAAATCATCATAGATGGTGCGTAGACTACGGGTAAGTCTCCATCTTTAAAAAAAAAAAATCTTTTTTCTTTTATACTTATAAGGACCTCAGAGGTTGTTTTGTCATGACACATTTTAGCTATAAACAAATTACTACACAACCAAGAAATAATCTGAAATACACTCCAAAATAATTTGAAAACTATACTTTACTACCTCTAGGAGTAATTCAAGTTAAGAGACAAGCAAAAGTATACCTTCACTGCTAAAATCCTCAATGATCCATCCTTAATTAGTGGCAGAAGAGGAGTCTGCGTAATGTTAATTGGTCAGGCATCTAAGTGGTAAGATCCTAATGTAATGCCAGTCATCTCAGGAATTAAAAAAATAATGCCAAAGCCTTTCTTAGATGCTCAAATGCTTCCACAATAACACTGATTTTTCAAAGAAATATTCTTTGGGCATGAAAATTTTTCTTTAATAAGCCAGAAAATTTGGTTTTGAATATTTAAACACCAAAATATTGCCCATAGTAATATATATTACTACAGTATACACTGGAAAATATTCTTATGAGTGACAGATAGGAAAGAAAGAAGGGCTAATTGCAGCAGTATACTGGAGGGAATATTTATCTTAAAATTAATTGACTCAAAAGCAAAAACAAACATCAAAAGAGTTACTTAATACTTTATCAGAGCAAAAAAGAAAACCGAGCACAGAGTTGGAAAGTCATAGCATTTGAGTATCTGCTTATTCTTCTATTCACAATTTTCTCAACTGACTTTAATCCCTCTTGCGAAGGTGACTCTGAATAACCCCTTTTGTTACTGTAATTTGGGAGGCTTGAAATGGAAACTTGAAATTGAAAACTTACTTTTAAGATTCATGAGATTTGAAGGGCTTTTTGTTTTTTACTCTAAGGAATTTTAAAAATGTAATCTTTATCTTAGAGAAAGCAGGGATAGATCAATTCATTATAAGCAAACATAATGTAAATCCAAATTTGTCTACAATACTGCCCTATATACATATACCTATACAAAGATGTATACCTATACGTATACACACCCACACGTACTCTATTTTGGTGAAAATCCGGAGTCAAGGGTAAATAAAGTATGGGGTAGGCTTGTATCATCGAAGTTTATAATTCAGGCAACAGCAAGAAGGGCTCAAACATTGGCTGCACTTCTTCATTGTCTCCATCTGAATAGGGACTGCTCTACAGGGACAGCCCATGGACCATGTCAGGCCAGTGGTCTCTGCTGTGAGAAAACCCAGATGTCCTTCCCCCCAAAAATACTTCATCCTAAACTTACACGAGTTCCTTAGTTATTAATAATATTTTATTATCTAATAATTTATCTAAACCATTCTTAAATCTGTTTCTATGTCTCAACACTTTCCCTTCTTGAGGAAACAGAGTTAAAACTTAATTACCTAACAAATCAGGCTTTCTCTCTGTTGTGACAGTACATCCATGACTGTCAAAACTCCACTAGGTCCCCAACTAGGGAAATTTTATCTTCATAATCTCATGGTGTCTAGTGTATCTTGCACATAAGAAATTCATAATTAATGCATGCTAACTGAATACCCTGCAAATTGGTTAGAAAAAGACCATCTTTGCTTTATCTGCATCTTTGCCTACTGTAGAAGGTATTTGTAGTTTTTTCTCCTATATTTTCCCTTCATAGTCTCTACCAAATTAAAAGATGCTACATTAGTTGAGTTTGATTATATATCATGCAATCTCATCAAACTCCAAGGTCTTTTTGTAACATGAATTTCTGCAAAAATAGGTAATATCAAAATGTTTTGGGAAAAAAAATCACATGCTGATAAAGAAGAGTTCAAAATTAAATTATAGAATAATTGTATCAAATCATTCATTAAATATCAATTATTCCAAGTTTGAAATATCAATTTGGGGACATAAATATATTTCATAAAATGCTTCATAATACGTATGCCCTTCAGGGAAAATCCAAAAATTAACAATGATGTAAAAGGAAAAATAGAAATTAAACTGAAGATTACTTCTCTTTAAAGACTATTTTTATATTTACATATTCAAGTTGTTCCAAACATACTTGTTTTTTTTTCAATTCCAGTATAATTGACATACAGTATTATATTGGTTTCAGGTGTATAATATGATTCAACAATTCTATACATTACTCAGTGCGCATCATGATAAGTGTGCTCTTTATCCCCTTCACCTATTTCATCCATTCCCCCACCCACCTTCCCTCTGGTCACCTTCTGTTTGTTCTCTATAGTTAAGAGTCTGCTTTTTTGTTTGTAAAGACTAAATTTTTGAAGGACATTTAAATGACTTGAAATATGTAAAAAAAATATTCATTAAGTGAAGAAAAATCTCCTGTTTCATTCATAAAGTGATTCCAGCTAGTTTAAAGATATTTTTCAACATATGAATAAAATATTATTTCTAAGCAGTAGAGGATTTTAAAATGTAATCTGGAAAAATATATATATATATATATAGCTTTAGTGTTTTTTTTAAAGATTTATTTATTTGAGTGAGAGAATGTGAGTAGAGGGAGCGACAGAGGGGAGAAAGAGAGAGAGAGAGAATCTCAAGCAGACTCCCTGCTGAACATGGAGCCCTATATGGGGCTCGATCTCACAACCCTGAGATCATGGCCCTGAGATCAGCACCTGAGCCAAAACCAAGAGACAGATGCTCAACCAACTAAGCCACCCAGGCGCCCCTAGTGTGTTTTGACAGAGCTACTCAATCTCCATGTTTGTAGTTTTGAATCATTTGGAAAATAATGCAAGTTCTGATACAGTAATCTATACATGTAAGTTCTATTAAGTTAAATCAGTCACTTTTTATGATTAGGCTTCACATGTATGCCATAACATGGCATATTTTTTTAACTGAGTAAGATTTTATGATATAATGGTGGATTAACAAAACAATCTCTAAATTAATATAATCTATAAATTAGAAAGTGTTTGCTGATACTGCATAAAGCTAAAAGTAATTTTTTCATAGTTCAGAATTTTTGAAAGGTACGTGCATTTTCCCGATGGGTTCATTCATTTGTCTCCCAGTTGTTAGTTTACTGTTTACTTCCTTAACAAAGCTAGTGAAATGTTTTCATAACCATATCTGTTCAAGAACTATTTGTTTGAACAGATTTGGCCAAAGGAGCACAAGGAGGGTAATTCACGAACAGTATAATACCATTTTGTTGAAAGCTTCATTCATTTGATTTGAACTTTCTAGCTGCCTTCAAAAAAAGAATAGAAACAATCTGACTAGATATTTACTGAGAGACAGTTCAGAGGCTCTGTGTTTAATTTTTATTGACAATTTCAGGAGAATTGTTAGTCTGAACTAAATAAGTAAATAGATGATGCCTAGAAAGCCTATTCTCTAAAACCACAGCAACTGAAAAAGAAATGAGCAAAAAAGCAATCCAAAGGCCAAGGGAAATTCTCCCTAGATTTCCCATCCAAGAGCCTGCATGAGAAATTATAGTTATTTTTATTGCCAGGTTAGTTTAGGTGACAATGTTTAGTTTGGCCTAATTTGTGAGTTAATGGGTTATGTGATACACTGGAGAGCACACTACAATCTTCCTAACCACTCCAGCCTCTTGATAACTCATTTCTTAGAATATATTTACAATAGATTAAAAAGAAAAATGGGGATTTTTTTTCCAAATTAATAAAATCCCATGTGGTCAACTAAGGGTATATATATATATAAATAGTGTTCCCTATTAAAATTCTGTATTCCAGCAATTTACATTACATACATTATTCTACAGCAAAAGCATCCAGAAAATTTGGGCAACTATCTGAAAAATGTACATCAAATACTGACCAAATTGACTCAATTAGCCCCAGTGTGTGGACTTTGAAGATGAGCCCCAGGCAATGATGATCACTGCCCTTCTAAGCAATGTCCAAATTTGAGCATGTTTTAGCAACAGAAGATAGAACATAGGCAAATAATATTGATTTTTTAAATAAACCACACACTTTCCTATAATCTGTAATACTGGTCCAAGAGAAGAGAATGATGCAATTCAGAAAGAAAATGAAGGACTGGCATTGGTTTCTCATCTCCCAGGACCGTCTAAGCCTTTATTAGGAATCATCATAACTCCCTTTCCACCTCTCTCCCAAATCTAAGTATGCTGCTCACCAGATTTAAATTCCCTCAATATATAGACATTTTAAAAATATCAACTACATCTAAGCCAAGAAAGACTACGTTTTAAGTTTAATGTTGTATCAAAGATAGCAGTTCTTTCAGGAAGTATGATAAAGTGAAATGGATTTCTTCAGGATGGCAACTGCCATCACATTTTGATGAGGAGAGAAGTGGAGACGAATGATAGTTTGGTCAGGGTAACACTCTGAACTACCCTGTGTTTCTTAAGGAGCCAAGGCTCTTCGAACATGGCTATTCAAATCTCTTTCCATGGTTTGATATTAGTAACAGGCATATCGATTTGACTAATATTTCACAAAAATAACCATGTGACATTTTAATGTCTACTCAGAGAATATGGCCACTGTCTAGTGTTGTTGGGGAAAAGCTCCATATAAACTATACAGACCAAGGGTGTGTGGGTGGCTTAGTCGGTTGAGTGTCAGACTCGGTTTTGGCTCAGGTTATGATCTCAGGGTCAAGGAATCGAGCCCCTCATTGGGCTCCATGCTCAGTGAGGAGTCTACCTGAGATTCCCTCTCTCCCTCTACCCCTCCCCCTGTTAGCACTTTCTCTCTCTCTAAAATAAATAAAATCTTTAAAAAACAAACAAAAAACTAAACAGACGATATAATTATATCTAAAGAAAAGATGGCTTCCTTTTTTGTGAAAGAAGTCAATAGTCATTTTAATTTAGTTTTATTTATTCCTCATATACAGTAATACAAGCATTAG